ATATATATATATAAAGAAAAAGTTTTATATTATATAGTTTAAATTGTATTGAATTTAACAAAAATTATTAAATTAGGTGATGATCTCTAAGATTGAAATGCCCTTCCCATTTAATAGTTTGTTGTTTAATCTGAATTAGACAACACATTCTTTATATATAGAAAAGAAAATAATATGACTAGCCTCATTGATATTAAGAAAAATAAATGGTAGCTTAGAACGTAGGCCATTGGTCACTCATCCCGTGACTCAACAGCCAGGGCCTGTGTTTTAGTCCCCTTGACTACATTCCCAACCCCTCCACCAACCCGTATTGTAAATGTGTAATCCCATTGCAATTGTGAAAAAATAATAATAATAATAATAATAATAAAGGCATTATATCTTCAATTATTGGTTTTTATATATATATGTATTAATTTTTTTTTATCTGATAACTATATTAAATATCGATTAATCTAAAATCGAACAACATCTAATTTTATTAAGAAAAATTTTTTTAGTACTTATTTTTCTATTCATAAAATTTGAATTTGAGATTTTATTTAAAGTAAATTAAACTCTTTTAATTTAGACTAATAAATCATTGGTATCTTCTACCATTGTCGGTGACGATCCATTGTCGGTTTTTCCTTTGTCACCATCATTACTAATAGACAGTGGCTTGGCTCCCACTTTCTAATATGCCTCCTCCAATTTTCCAAAGTCAATTTTTCTGCAACTTGCTGGAATTTGTCACCATCATTGGAATAGAACTGTTCTTCTTTTCAGAGATTTATTAAAAACGATGGACCTCCTCACGTGTGAAACAGGATTCTGCCCATTCCTCTTCATTACTGCATGCTGCTTTGCCGCCTGTCACAAACAACAAAAGATTCCTTTCCTTGCCACTCAGTTTCCTTGCCACTCAGTTTCACCACCCCCCTACACACATACGAATAGTTGTTAGTAGGGGGGGTAGGCATTCGAGTGGGTAATTCGTCGGTTATTTAGAAATTGATTTTGGTTAAATCTTTTACAAATCAAAAATCAAAATAAGTCTCTTAAAAATTGAAATCTGAATAAATATGATAAAATATGATAAAATATAATAAAATATGAGATAAAATATAATTTAATATAAAAAAATTGATTAGTATTTATTTAGTAAAAATCAAAATCAAACTAATTTTATTGATAATCAAACCGATTGATTTGTGAAAATTTTGATTTGATTCGATTTCGATTCTTAAAATTGAAGAAAAAAATTTTCAATTATTTTAAAATCGATTTTGATTTTATCGAAACCAGTTTTGCCTACCCTAGTTGTTAATATCATACAAAATATTACAAATATATTTAATTTATTTAATTTTATCAGTTTATAAAGGTGTTTAAAAATATCAAGATAATTATAAATTGATTTTAAATTATTAAGTAATAGATATCGGTTATTTTTATTAATTGTTAATTATCTCTTGTATCTTCGAATAATTTTTATTTATTAACTCAAAGTCTTAATTCGAGATTAAGATAAGTGATTTAAACTTTTATAATATTAAATAGTTAATTTTTGATGTATTAAAAAAATAAAATAAATTTTTTTAATTTTTCTTCAAATTATGGATTTAAGAACAATTTATATGTTTATTTATATTACCTTTAAAAAAGAAAGAAAACATAAAGAGAGGCTTTTTTTAATTAATATCATTAATTTAAATAAATAATTATATGGTTAAAGTAAAAAAAATATTTTTATATTTTTAAAATAAAAAAATGACTATAAAAAATTAAAAAAAATAAAAAAAAATTCAAAATAAATAATAAATAATAACGATTTTGGGACAAAAAATAAAAATTATTGTTATCAACTATTAGTTTATAATTAAATAAAACAAACATGAGTTAAAAAAAAAAAAAAAAAAAAAGGGCAATAAGGCTCACATTTTCCACCTTGAAGAGCTAAGAGATAATTGGATTCGGAGCATCGCAGGCTTGGGTTTTAAGCCCATATATAGTCTATAGTACTGAGATCCACCGAGCCCAGTTTTAAAAGAGCCATTGCTTCTTGTTGTTGTTTTCTTTTTTTAGTATCATATTTTACACTTCAAATTATACTAAATTGTAAAATAAAAGTTATTAAATAAGAGTAAAACCCCTAATATTAGAAGGTCATCCTCGTTCAATAGTTATGGTTGTGCAATTTAATATGAAAATAGTGTATACTTACCTTACCTCATAAAGTTTAAAGAAAAATTATTTTAAAATTATATTTTTTAATAAATTTTTTTTAAAAAGAATTTTAAAAAAATCTTATCTTTAAAACATAAATTAGAGTATTTTGATAATTTTTTGTAATATTTTATTAAAATAACATAATTTTAAAATAATTTATTTCTTAATTAAAAAAAAAACAAATAAATACTAATTTTATTTAATATAATTTAAACTATGTAATATTTTATTTTATTTTATTTTAGTTAAAAGCTCATTGCTTGTTTAAAACCGATAAACCATACTTTTTTTTCCGTTTTTTTATATAATGATAAAACCCAATCAAAACTAAATCCAATGGTTTTATGGAACGTTATAAGCTTCTTTTTCTTTTCTTTTTTTCCTTTTCTTTTTTTTTAACAAGAGTAATGGTTAGAAGTTAAAAATTAGTTAGGTTAGTACTTTACTTTTGATAAGATTCAATCATTGGTCATGGGTGTAATGTATCGATAACTTTGTTGAGTTGCAGTGGTCACCAATAAATCACAACAAGAAAATACGAAACATTATAAACTAGTAAAGCTATATCAGTTTTTTTTATATATATTTATTATATAACGAAAAATAATTTTTTTTATTTTTTATTTCACTTCACTCACATATATACATACATATTATGTGATTTGAATTTAAAATTTTTATTTTTAATAAAGAAAAATTATTACTGAAACTATTTTTTAAGTGATTAATATTATAAGCTAACACCCACCAGTTGACTGTTAAGGATTTTAGACAGGAATATCTAAACCGTACTCTGGGAGTCTGTGTGAAACCGGAATCAGGATTTATTATAATTTGATATGAAAGGTGGAAGGTTAGGTATGGTCCACATCAGGTGGGCTCCAACGGCCCAAATAAATCCACGTGGCAGAACGCAGTGAGTCATCATACACGCTAACTGGATCGAAGGGGCATCTGACAATAGTGGGGTCCACCAAGGGGGGACATGATTGACAGCCGAGCACGTGCGGAAGTTGGTTGGGCCCACAGCCCAGGCCTTCTTTGTCAACTACCACTACCACTTAACTCAGGACTGCATAATTCTCGTACCTTCCCCTAATTGTATTTTCAAAATTTTCCATTAATGTCCCTTTAAAAAGAAATAAAGTAA